CATAACTCTGAAACATAAAATCTAAAATTTATAACAATCAAAAGGGAGCTCATGTCAATAGATATAAACAACTCACCAAAATTTCTTGCAAATTGGTGAAAGTGTTTTAGAGTTATTGTCCGAAATTTTTAATGAAAAAAAACCCAAAACTCGGGAACTTAAAATCTCAAATTTATAAAAAACGAAAGGGAGCTCACGTCAACAGATATAAACAATTCACCAAAGTTTCATGTGAATTGGTTAAAGCGTTTTTGAGTTATTGTCCGACATGTTGACGACGGACGGACAGACGGACAACAGTATACCATAATACGTCCCGTTAACAGGCGTATAAAAATTGAAATACATGTTTAGATTCAGCATATCAAATTACCCCAAGAATTCAATTTTTTTTTTTAAATCAAATTTTGGACCTTTTGGACTTTAATGTGGACCATTTTGAAAACGGGGCCCAAAATAAAAAATCTAAATACACGGTTAGATTCAGCATATTAAAGAACCCCATTAATTCAAGACTTTGAATTAAACCCCATTGAAATGGGTTAAGAATTAAGCAATTTATTAAAAGTATTAGAAAATTAATTGTTTCTGGCCCCGACTTCCTAAATAGTTCGGACCGTAACCCCCAAAATCAATCCCAACCTTCTTTTTTAGGTATCGAACCTTGTGGTACAATTTCATAGAGATCCATAGACTTATACTCTAGTTATTTTTCTGGAAACCAGAAAAACCTGGTTTTTTGGCCATTAATTCCTAAACAGTTTGGGCCATAAACCCCAAAATCAATCCCAACCTTCCTTTCGAGTATTGAACCTTGTGATACAATATCATAGAGATTCATACACTTATACTCAAGCTATTGTTTGGAAACCAAATGTCTTCTGACGAAGACGACGATGACATCACCATACCATTATACAGCCGCAAATTTTTGCGGGCATATAAAAAGACATATATGCACAAATACATCCTACATAACTATATCTTATATGGAGCAGGATCTGCTTACCTTTCAGGAGCACCTGAGATCACACCCAGTATTTGGTTGGGTTCATGTTGCTCAGTCTTTAGTTTTCTATGTTGTGTTTTTTGTACTGTTGTTTGTTGGTTTGTCTTTTTCTATTTTAGCCATGGCGTTGTCAGTTTATTTTCAACTTATGAGTTTGAATGTCCCTTTGGTATCTTTCGCCTCTCTCTTTTTTAACTTCATTCTTGAATCCATTACATCTGCTAAATATCTGAGCATTACTTTAAAATCAAAACTAAAATGGATCCTACATTATGACAACATGAAATCAAACAGAAATAAATCCTTAGGATTCCTTACAAGAAATCTAAAAATATCAATCACAGACATTAAATCCAGAGCATATCAAGCAATAGTAAGACCTAAACTAGAATACAGCAGCAGTTTATGGGAACATGCTACCAATAGCTACAGTACAGGCAACCACAGTTGACAGCTTCAGAGCACACCTTACACAAGGTATATCTGTCAACTGATTTAAACCAGATACTGTAAATTCAGAAATTATTGCGTGCATTTATTATTGCGATTTTGTCATTTTAGACTAAAATGCGATTTTAATTTTTGCGATATTGAGAAAATCCTGTTTAATTCATATAAAAAAATTTCATAATGCGAGTTTAGATTATTGCGATTATAACCCTGTCATATTTTTCGCAATAATAAAAATATCGCAATAATTTCTGAATTTACAGTACTAAATTTTGTAAATATTGTTAATTTTAATCAGTTTTTGTAATATACATGCACAGACTGTAAAACTTGTATACTACTCCTTTGTTTTTACAAGAGAAATAACTTTTGGTAAAAACAATCCATGCACAAACAACAAGTAATCTTCAGTATCCAGAAGTTTTGTTGTACATGTACAACTGAAGAAGAAAATCAGGTTGGTTCTTAACAGAACAAATTCTACAGTATTTGAGGGGATAAGTTTAGTCCAGATTTCACTGTAATCCATGTGTATATCAACAATATTTACAATGCATTTAAAAAACTGTACTTTTTTTATAGGAATTATCCACTGTAGAAATATAAATTATCTAAAAAAGCCTTGAATGTTCTCATACCCTTGCACCTCTTCACAGATTTTAACACAACTTCTATAAATGGTTTATATCAGTAGTACATTTGTATCTATAAACCAGTGCCAATTGACAATTTCTATGGGAGTGATTACCCTTGGAAATCTTAATTAAATGAAAATTGCCTAATAAGCATTTTCATCCTTCATTTCAGTTCTTGATGGATTTTTATTAAATTATTCCTTTGAGCTACAACCAGTGCAAAACAATTAGCGGTTGAAAATGTAAATCAGGTGAAAAACTGCATTGTAAGTAATTTTATGTTTACAATATGAAGATGATCAATAAGAGCCTTTTGTCATAGCAGATTACTGAAGTATTGCTTCATGAATCATGAATAAGGGTTTTATGCTGATAAACAAAAGATGGATAGCAGAAACTAATTCTCTTTGTATTTAAAAGAATTAACATTTTACAAATATAAATGTTTCCAATGACTTCACCATTCATGGACTACAGGAATGGTTTTCCTTTATAATGAAAATATAGTTAAAGGATCACTTCCATTTAGAATGATGTTACAATATTCTGATCACCCTAGGAATAGAGAAATTCTGTTTGTTACAATTCAAATTTCTTGACTTCCAAATGTTTTTTTTATCACATCTGAACCAAAATCAATATTTTTCAGTCTTTTTTGAGGTGAGACATGTGTGAAACTTTATCATTGTACTTCCATTTTAATGCTTTGAACTATAAACTTTCAATTTAATTTTTTGAAATTCAATCTTCAACAGTATGAATGAAGTGACCCTTTGATATAACAATCAGCCATAAATCAGAACATTTTCATGCTATATCAAATTAAAGGGTCACAAAATCTCCATGATTCCAAAAAAGATCAACACTTACAATGTCAACCTTACTAACTTTTCCAATGGGTTGATCCTCAAAATCAAAGATTAAAATGTATCCAAAAGCAATTTTTAAGTGTTTGATTTGAAGAGAGTGTATCATGTTGTTCTGATTGCAATGGAATTTAGGTCTTGATGATCCTTTAACTCTTTTTAACCGTATATTCAAGGAACAAGAGTGCACACGCTGAAATGTCTTGCCTGCTTTACTGACCATTGATTTTATGTTAGAGTCCTAAATATAAAGCTTTACTACAAGTATCACATAAACTTTACATGATCCAAGAAAATGAGGTCAAGGTCAGATAAACCAAACTGGAAATACATGTACACCTTACAAACAATCTATGCATTAAATATAGTTGACCAATTGCTTATAGTATCTAAGAAACAAACTTAACCATGAAAACTTAACATTGACCAATAACCATGAAAATGAGGTCAAGGTCAGACGATACCTGTCAGACAGACATATACATCTTACAATCATTCCATACACCAAATATAGTTGACCTATTGCTTATAGTTAAAGAAAAATAGACCAAAAACTTTACACTGAGCAATGAACCATGAAAATAAGGTCATTAACCCCGCCACATTCTGTATGTGCCTGTCCCAAGTCCGGAACCTGTAATTCAGTGGTTTTTGTTTGTTGCTGTGTTGCATATTTGTTTTTCGTTCATTATTTTGTACATAAATTAGGCCGTTAGTTTTCTCGTTTGAATTGTTTTACATTTGTGATTTCGGAGCCTTTTATAGCTGACTATGCGGTATGGGCTTTGCTCATTGTTGAAGGCCGTACTGTGACCTATAGTTGTTAATTTCTGTGTCATTTTGTCTATTGTGGAGAGTTGTCATATTGGCAATCATACCACATCTTCTTTTTATATCAATCAAGGTCAAATAAAACCTGCCAGACTGACATGTACATCGTAAAATATTTCCACACACCAAATATAGATGACCTATTGCATATAGTTCAAGAAAAACAGACCAAAACACAAAAACTTAACTTTAACTGCTGAACCATGAAAATGAGGTCAAGGTCAAATGACACCTGCCAGTTGAACATGTAAACCTTACAATCATTCCATACACCGAATATAGTAGACTTATTGCTTATAGTATCTGAGATATGGACTTGACCACGAAAACTTAACCTTGTTCACTGATCCATGAAATGAGGTCGAGGTCAGATAAAAACTGTCTGAGAGGCATGAAGACCTTGCAAGGTACACACATACTAAATATAGTTATCCTATTACTCATAATAAGAGAGAAATTAACATTACAAAAATCTCAACTTTTTTTTCAAGTAGTCACTGAACCACGAAAATGAGGCCAAGGACAGACGGAAACTTCATAGCATAAGGCATCTATATACAAAGTATGAAGCATCCAAGTCTTCCACCTTCTAAAATATAAAGCTTTTAAGTAATTAGTTAATGCCGCCGCTGGACCACTATCCCTATGTCGAGCTTTCTACGACAGAAGTTGCAGGATTGACAAAAATCTAATTCCCTTATCTTGCAAGCTCATACTTAGAAAAAGTATTTGGAACAGAAGAGATAGAAAGGAGCCATGATATATTCCGGTCAGTGTGTCCTTTTGTTTGTACATTAGTTTGTTCCCTATCAGATTTAAGCTTTTGTCAATGTAGTTTACAATGAAATTGTGGTTACATCAACTTGAAACTTGTACCGGTAATACATGTTCATCTTGTCAAATTTTTAAAATATATGTTTTTTTCTTCGATTTCCGGGTTCACATAGAAATATGTGCAGGTGGTGAACGGTGTCCTGTAGACAGATTTTTCTTTGTACATAATTTTGGAGTCTGATTGGCACTAATGCATTAAGCATTTGTTTTATTCATTTGGTCTCAACTTGTTGGGTTTCATCTAATCTTATGAAAACATACACTTTGGCCTGAAAAAGTATTTGCGATGGCTAAAAAACACATGTGCAAACAACTGACCTTATAAATTGATAATGTTTTATGATGTTAATTTGATAAACATTATAGCAATAATCCTTTTCTTTTTTGAACATTTAATAAGGTACCTTTTTATTTAACAAAATATCATATTATAATTTTAAATAATTTTACCATCTATTTTTTTTTCTTCATATTTTATCATATGTTTTTAGCAATATTTCATAATGCTCTTTTTACAAACTATCTACCATGTGTTTTTTATAAACATTTAATCAAGTTCTTTCTTAATCCTCTTTTTCAGTTCCTTCTTCAACTTCTTTTCAACTGACTTATCTAACTGATCACCATCTGAAAGAGATTATGTTGTAGAATTGCCTTGAATTTCTATATTCACAGATATACATATTAGTTTTCAAAGGGAAGTTGAAATCTTCTTCTACAGGGAAACATAATTATTTCATGAATAGGATGTACATGACATTGAGAAAAGAAGAACATGGAATTTAACTTAACTGATTGTATGCTCATAGCTGTACTTTTTGGATGAAATGTCCATGAAATTAAAAGAATAATTAAAAATTCGTAAGGGGTTCCATGGAACCCTGTGTCTCATCTACGATTGCTGCTGTCAGTGTAAAAGTGTAATGTTGACTTAAAAAGTGAGTCCATTTATCAGTAAAATACAGAATGTAAAAAAAAATTAAAACGTTTTCTTTAGATGCTATTCCTTGGTCTTGAAGATTAGCTTCTGTCCAAGTTTCATATCAATCCATGAAGGTTTACAAACTTATCATGTCAAAATAATTGAATCCCAGACTGTCTGTAAGTGTTAACCGTCATAAAAAAGTCCATCTATCAAAAAAATACTGAAAATAAAAATGTAGTTTCAATAGTTTGCTTCAGATATTATCTCTTAATCATAAAGCTTCTACCAAAGTTTCATAAAATTCTATGAAGGTTTCACAAAGTATTTGATGTGTAACAAACTTTAACCCCAGACTGTATCTACTTGGTAATTGTAAAATAAACTAAGTCCATTTATCAGTAAAATACAGAAAAATGAAAATAAATATTTTCAAAGTTTTGCTTTGGATACTGTATTTTGGTCATAAACAAGCTTCTATCCAAATTTCATAAAATTCCATGAAGGTTTGACAAAGTTATTGATGTCTAAAAAACTTTAACCACAGACTGAACCTAAATGTTGACGCTGCGGACGGAATCTAGGATCGCTATGTCTCGCTTTCGCGACATAAATGTTGCAGGCTCGACAAAAATGGGTCTTTGATTCAAAGAGCTTAATTGGAAAACTTTTGGTTTATATTTTGAAAAGTCAATGTTAATGACACCAGTATCTAACAGGCACAAAAGAACATCAAATTAAATGATAGTATAAAGGAATGGTTATATCTGATATATCAAATGAAACCATAATAAAATGCTCCGCAGGGCGCAGCTTGATACGACCCCAGAGGTCGAACCCTGAACAGTTGGGGCAAGTATGGACACAACATTCAAGCTTGATACAGCTTTGCATTTGGATTGTGATTAAATATTTGACACAGCATAGGTTTCTGACACAGAATGAATGTGGTCTAAGAACTTAAAATTTTAAATTGGACATTCACTTATTATGGTCCAATATCCAAAATCTAAATACATGGTTAGATTCAGCATATCAAAGAACCCCAAGAATTCAATTTTTGATGAAATCAAACAAAGTTTAATTTTGGACCCTTTCGACCTCAATGTGGACAAAGTTTATAATGGGGCCCAAAAATCAAAAATCTAAATACATGGTTAGATTCAGCATATCAAAGAACCCCATATATTCAATTTTTGTTGAAATCAAACAAAGTTTAATTTTGGACCCTGATTTGGACCAACTTGAAAACTGGGCCCATAATCAAAAATCTAAATACATGTTTAAATTCAGCATATCAAAGAACCCTAAGAATTCATTTTTTGTTAAAATCAATCTAAGTTTAATTTTGGACCCTTTGGACCTTAATGTAGACCAAATATTTGAAAACGGAACCAAAAATTAAGAATCTAAATACACGATTAGATTCATCATATCAAAGAACCCCAATAATTCAATTTTTGATAAAATCAAACAAAGTTTACTTTTGGACCCTTTGGACCTCAATGTGGACCAATTTAAAAACGGGGCCCAAAATCCAAAAACTAAATACACGGTTAGATTCAGCATATTAAAGAACCCCAAGAATTCAAGAATAAAACCCCATTGAAATTGGTCAAGAAATAAGCAATTTATACGAAGTATCTTCATTTGCACAATACTGTGCAATTAAATATTTCTTGCTATTGCGCAATACTGTACAATTGACAATTTCTTGCTATTGTGCAATATTGTGCTATTGGATATTTCTTGCTATTGCCCAATACTGTGCAGTTGAAGATTTCTTGCTATTGCGCAATACTTATTATATAATAATTTACACATCCTGTTTGGTGTGTATCTCCTACCATATCATTATTATTTGCTTTTAAATATAAATCAGAAATAACCAACTTAAAATGGAAAATTTTAAAAGAAAAAATAGGAAAAAAAGAAAAAAAATGAAAAAAAAAAAAATCCCCCCCCCCAAAATTTTTTGAACCCCCTTATGATTTATCACACCCAAACTCAATCCCAGCCTTCCCTTTGTGGTATGGTACCTTGCAGTACAATTTCAGAGAGATCCATACACTTGAACACAAGTTATTGTCTGGAAACTGTAAAAATGTTTGTTTTTTGGCCCCTTTTTGGCCCCAAATTCCTAAACGTTTAGGGCAATTACCCCCAAATTCAAACCCAGCTTTCCCTTTGTGATATGGAACCTTGTAGTACAATTTCAGAAAGATCCATACACTTACACACAAGTTATTGTCCTGAAACTAGAAAAATGCTTGTTTTTTTGTCCCTTTTTGGCCCCTAATTCCTAAAATATTGAGGCAATTACCCCCATCATCAATCCCAGCCTTCCCTTTGTGGTATGGTACCTTGCAGTACAATTTCAGAGAGATCCATACACTTGAACACAAGTTATTGTCTGGAAACTAGAAAAATGCTTATTTTTGGCCCCTTTTTGGCCCCCAATTCCTAAACGTTTCGGCAATTACCCCTAAACTCAATTCCAGCTTTCCCTTTGTGATATGGAACCTTGTAGTACAATTTCAGAAAGATCCATACACTTACACACAAGTTATTGTCATGAAACTAGAAAAATGCTTTTTTTTCCCCTTTTTTGGCCCCTGTAATTCCTAAAATTTTGAGGCAATTACCCCCAAAATCAATCCCAGCATTCCTTTTGTGATATGGAACCTTGTGGTACAATGTCAGAGAGATCCATACACTAACACACAAGTTATGTCTGGAAGTTACAAAAATGCTTATTTTTGGCCCCTTTTTGGCCCCTAATTCTTTTACTGTTGGTACCATAACCCCCAAAATCAATCCCAACCTTCCTTTTGTGGTATTGAACCATATGGTAAAATTTCATAGAGATCCATTCACTTAAACTAAAGTTAGAGTGCGAAAACCAATGTGTCTTCGGACGACGACGACGCCAACGTCATACCAATATACGACCACAAAATTTTTTTTGCGGTCGTATAAAAATCCTTTGGATAACAAAATATGTGCAGTTTAAATATATGTTAAATCTGCATTCAAAAAAGTGTCTAAAAGCAGTGTGGAAAGGTTGGATGTTGAGCAATGCATGTTTACAGCAAACGGGAATCATTTATTTAATTTGTCAAATCATGTATTCCAAATGGGATGAGTACAAAGTTCACTTTTCTTCAAAACCTTTAAATTGTATTACTTTGAAATTTGCATTGCAAAATAATCATTATATTCGATCAAAATGACAATATATTATTTTTTATAAGAATTAGAGTTGTCTACCTTTGTACACAAGGTCTGTACACATCTTAAATGCATAGTATTTTAGAAAGCTTGAGGGATCTGTGTTGAAAACGTTATGGGTTTTCTGTTATTACTTCATGATTTGTTACACTTTTGATATTAAATAAAAATAATCTTGTTTATCTGGGTTTTTATCAAACAGTTATCTGCTGTTTTTTCCTCAATGTTTGCAGTCATTAGTTCTAAGCAATAAGATTTTATTTTTACAATAAAAACAAATAAACCATAATAAACATCATTTTAAAATAATGATAACTTTACAGTTATAAGACTGACAGAATTATTTACAAACACAAAAACTAAACTTTGTAGGAAAAAAAGAAATTTCGAGAAACCTTCAAACTGTCACATATGACTAGAAATAGTTGATTGAAAAATATTTAATTCCTATGTCTTTCAATCTTTGTTAAATTCTGACTAAAGGATCATAAAACTACTACCTACCTAAGTAGTCTTCATCCTGATGATGTTTCTTTTTATGTGACTTTGATGATGAATCTGAAAAGAAAAAATGTTAAAAATGCAAAGTATTGTATCAGTCTATATGCATATACAAACCAGTATGATACACTAAAGTCCAATGGTAAATGTTTTTGGCCAATTTACATAGTGAGCTATTTCTCAAGATTAAAAGATACTTGATAAGTCTGAATAAACTGTTTCATTTATTTTGGATTCATTATTATTCATGGAGTACCAATTTTCGTGGATTTCTTTGGGATAGGTGAGCCACAAGTTCAACTAAGTACAAATTTCCTATGCAAATTTTGGCAAAACCATGAAATCAAGTATCCACATAAATACAATCTTTCTTCAATCCCCAAAAAACACTTCATGCTATTTGAGCTTCTACCTCAGTAATAATGTCAGTTAAGCTACAATGATGTCATTAAAAAACATACTAGATTTATTTCCTTTATGGTCATGATGTTTTCTTTTTCCTAACTTCACTGGATCTCCTGAAATCATAAAAATATTTTTACAGAAAATTTAGTTTAGAAAAACTTTCCTTATCAATTACCTGGATCATTAGATTATCACTCAATGTTCTCCCACATTGATCTAGCATTTATTTACCATAATGAATATCAAAAACTAATCATCTTCAGACTTTGGAAATGGGAAGAAAATTTAGCCAAGTGGTTATTTTCAGAAATTTCTAAGAAATTTAAGTACCTAAAAGGCATTTTTTTAATATCTGTTTGGTTAATGTTCCCTTTTCCTACAGAACATTTTATAAATAATTAAGACTATGAACTTTTACAATCTAACCTCAATAGGCAAAGGGACCCAACAAAATTATTTGAGTTATCGTGGGATTAAATCATAGAATGTCATGAGTTACATAATGTTTTCCCATTTGTAAGTTGTAACTTGTATTGTTAAGGTTGAAGATGTATAAAAACGACACAGCAGAAACATTACACATGGGATGTTAACAAAGATAAGTATGGTCACACAGTAAATATTCCGTGAGGACAAACATTAAGTTTTAGACTTAGAATCAACCAAGTTTGAATCATCACAGTCATCATTTAACAAATGAGAGGGACTGACAAAATAGACCTACTAATCAGAAAACAAAACTAAGTTCGACACAATGAAGTTCAACTGTATTTGACCCCTTCTCCTACAAATCAATATCAATAACTCATAACTGTGAAAAATTACCTGACCCAAACGGTTCAAATCTAGGTATAAGACCTTTAGGTATTTTATGGGCTATTGGTTCTGGAATCTTTATTGCAGGTAGATCTGGAATCTCTAAAGACTGCATCACATGTATCTGGCCTCTGAACTTTGGTCCTATAAAAATACAGTTGAAATCAAATAAGGAATTCTAATTAGCTTCACATAATTTGTAGGAAATAAATAATATGCAAACTAACTTTTAAATTCCTGTAAGATTTTATTCAGTCTTCATTGTCTGTGAAAACCATCTGGAGATCTCTTCAAAGATTTGATTCAGTTTGAATTGGTAGCATTCTTTTACATACCCCATATACATTTGGTTTGATGCAGAATATTAAATCCAATGCAAGCGTTGGCAGGATAGCACACGCTTTGAAAACTTTAAATACTGCAGAACATAAGAAAGGGGTTCCTATGACCTACAATAACTTGCTGTAAGGCTAAATTTCCTATCCTATCTGATTCATCCCTTTTCTATTGGCAATCAAAACTATTTCCATCCAAATTTTCAGATCATTAAAACTGATAAACCATTAACTTTTTGAGAATGCATAAACTATTTGCCACTGAATGAACAATCAATTCCATTCATAAACTGAATTCGTTTTGGTTAGTAATTTCCTTTATATTGCGTTCACCATAAACAGGTTGAACTGTGATAACCCCACTATAAGCATTCAGCAAACAGAAGGTTGATGAGTCATGAATTTGAAAAAGCATCACACAGTATAGCATGCCTAAATGAAGTTTGATACCAAATTTCAGAAAGCCTTGATTTGTAGTTCCTCAGACAATTGAGACAAAAACTTCTATCAGGTAAACAGAAGAGTCTCATATGAGATTCAAATGCAAACTTGCAGTGTTTAGTGATCAATTTATAATATCTTCTTCAATATCTTTATGAATAACATATAAAACGATGTAACTTTATTACAAATAACCAACATTTCTCTTTCTTTCAAACAAATATCTGCAATAATTATTGTTGAAATCAGATGTGGAAAGAGGGGATATTCAATGTCATCACAGTTACTTCTTATATGTAAATTATCTAAATACGCTTTAGAGAAAAACAAACAGAGAGCCTACACTATGGTTTATGATTGTATAAACTCTTAGTTTTTTCCAAATACAGTGAAATCTGTCAAAACTGAACACCCTTGAGACTTGATGTTTTGTTCGGTTTTCACAGGTGTTCGGATTGTAGACGTAAACGGAAGTGAATAGTTTCAAATTATTTTAACACTGACTGACGAGGAACATCAGGTGACACAACAAACAAGAATATATTTTCAAGTTGATTTAGATGTAAATGTTAATAAAGTGAAAATATCAAATAGATGAAGAAAGACATAGTTACATATTTTTACAATAAAATGCCAATTTGTCAATCACGCTCCTCATTGTAAGGAGAAATTTCGTTCAATGTTATCTGATGTGTAGCCAGTTTGCTTTTCATAATGATGTTGTCATCCGTAAATTCACCGACCAATTCAGATTTCTAATCACTGTCAAATGACGATTCGGTAGTTGACTCGAGATCAACATCGTCTGTTTCAATTATCTGTAGTTCTCTAACTTTATCTTAACTAAATAGCTTACAGAACGTCAACATCCGGGTCTTCAGAATCATATGCATTTGATAGGGCCTCTAAAGGAAAACCTGCATCACGAAAACATTATTCAAAAGTCGTTTATTTTGTTTCATTCCACGACTTGTCAATCCATTATCAGTGAATGGAAGAACGTTAATTTATTTACACAGTACAGTTACGAAATGGCAGTTGTCAATTTGTGGCAGTGAATATTTGAATCACGTGCATTTAAATAATTCCAATTTGTATTCAAGGGATAGGTCCTTTCTTGCCCCTTTTGGCGATGGGCGAGGTTTATCGTTTTGATCAATTTTGCGTTTGCAAGCCCCTTGCTGTAAATTTCATAGAATACGTTTTTATAGACTAACCGATACTTTTACAATGATTTTAACACTGTTTACAGGTACACAAACAAGCTCATTAGTTTATAATAAAATGCTCTGCAGGGCGCAGCTTGATACGACCGCAGAGGTCGAACCCTGAACAGTTGGGGCAAGTATGGACACAACATTCAAGCTTGATACAGCTCTGAATTTGGATTGTGATTAAATATTTGACACAGCATAGGTTTCTGACACAGAATGAATGTGGTCTAAGAACTTAAAAATTTTAAATTGGACATTCACCTATTATGGTCCAATATCCAAAATCTAAATACATGGTTAGATTCATCATATCAAAGAACCCCAAGAATTCAATTTTTGATGAAATCAAACAAAGTTTAATTTTGGACCCTTTTGACCTCAATGTGGACAAAGTTGATAACGGGGCCCAAAAATCAAAAATCTAAATAAATGGTTAGATTCAGCATATCAAAGAACCCCATATATTCAATTTTTGTTGAAATCAAACAAAGTTTAATTTTGGACCCCGATTTGGACCAACTTGAAAACTGGGCCCATAATCAAAAATCTAAATACATGTTTAGATTCAGCATATCAAAGAACCCTAAAAATTCAATTTTTGTTAAAAACTAAGTTTAATTTTGGACCCTTTCGACCTTAATGTAGACCAATTTGAAAACGGAACCAAAAATTAAGAATCTAAATACACGGTTAGATTCGGCATATCAAAGAACCCCAATAATTCAATTTTTGATGAAATCAAACAAAGCTAAATTTTGGACCCTTTGGACCTCAATGTGGACCAATTTAAAAACGGGGCCCAAAATCCAAAAACTTAATACACGGTTAGATTCAGCATATTAAAGAACCCCAAGAATTCAAGAATAAAACCCCATTGAAATTGATCAAGAAATAAGCAATTTATACGAAGTATCTTCTTTTGCACAATACTGTGCAATTGAATATTTCTTGCTATTGCGCAATACTGTACAATTGACAATGTCTTGCTATTGCGCAATATTGTGCTATTGGATATTTCTTGCTATTGCCCAATACTGTGCAATTGAAGATTTCTTGCTATTGCGCAATACTGTGCAATTGAAGATTTCTTGCTATTGCGCAATACTGTGCAATTGAAGATTTCTTGCTATTGCACAATACTTATTATATAATAATTTACACATCCTGTTTGGTGTGTATCTCCTACCATATCATTATTATTTGCTTTTAAATATAAATCAGAAATAACCAACTTAAAATGGAAAATTTTAAAAGAAAAAAAAAAGGAAAAAAAGAAAAAAAAAGAACCCCCCCCCAAATTTTTTGAACCCCCTTATGATTCATCACCCCCAAACTCAATCCCAGCCTTCCCTTTGTGGTATGGTACCTTGCAGTACAATTTCAGAGAGATCCATACACTTGAACACAAGTTATTGTCTGTAAACTAGAAAAATGCTTATTTTTGGCCCCTTTAGGCCCCAAATTCCTAAACGTTTCTGCAATTACCCCCAAACTCAATTCCAGCTTTCCCTTTGTGATATGGAACCTTGTAGTACAATTTCAGAAATATCCAAACACTTACACACAAGTTATTGTCATGAAACTAGAAAAATGCTTGTTTTTTGCCCCTTTTTTGGCCCCTAATTCCTCAAATTTTGAGGCAATTACCCCCAAAATCAATTACAGCCTTCCCTTTGTGATATGGAACCTTGTGGTACAATGTCAGAGAGATCCATACACTTACACACAAGTTATTGTCTGGAAGTTACAAAACTGCTTATTTTTGGCCCCTTTTTGGCCCGTAATTCCTTAACTGTTGGTACCATAACCCCCAAAATCAATCCCAACCTTCCTTTCGTGGTATTGAACCTTATGGCAAAATTTCATGGAGATCCATTCACTTAAACTAAAGTTAGAGTGCGAAAACCAATGTGTCTTCGGACGACGCCGGACGACGAAAACGACGACGACGACGCCAACGTCAGTCATACCAATATACGACCAAAAAATTTTTAATTTTTGCGGTCGTATAAAAACAATTCACCAGTTCATTAAACTTCAAATACCCTCGGGGATCCTCTGTCAGCCTGTGTTTGTTTAATAACTCATGCAAATCATTGAAAATACCTTTTGTTTTTATTGCTATTGATCAATTTTGACAGGTGATTTTTGTATACACTTTCACTAACGTGCCTTAAAAAAGCGTGCGGGATTCAGTGTTGGCAGGGTGCAGATTTTTCAGGTTAGATTAGCGTTAATTGATAGGGATATTCCATTGGACTTTGAAAATTGTTCGGTTAAACTGTAATTCGGTTTTATCAGGGTTTGGTTTTCCCAGGTTTCACTGTACAAATATTTCAAAATCAGAAATCAAACAAATAAAAACGTTAATTCCTAATTTCTAATTACACAACAATCTACATACCTAATACAAAAGACGACTTTTCTCTGCTTGGTAAAATGGGAGCAAATGTTGACATCTGGAATTAACAATAAAGAACCTTCAGTAAAACAAGAGTGCACACGCTGAAATGTCTCGCCTTCTTTACTAATCACTGATATTATGTTGATAGTCCTAAATATAAAAATTATTACAACTGTCACATAAACTTAACATTAACCAAGAAAATTAAACATTGACCAATGAACCATGAAAATGAGGTCAAGGTCAGATGAACAATGCCAGACAGGCATGTACAGCTAACAATTCTTCCATACAACAAATATAGTTGACCTATTGCTTATAGTTTAAGAAAAACAGACCAAAACACAAAAACTTAACACTGAGCAATGAACTGTGAAAATGAGGTCAAGGTCAAATAAAACCTGCGCGACTGACATATAGATCATAAAATATTTCCATACACCAAATATAGTTGACCTATTGCATATAGTATTAGAAAAAAATACCAAAACTCAAAATCTTAACTTTGACCACTGAACCATGAAAATGAGGTCAAGGCCAAATGACACCTGCCAGCTAGATATGTACACCTTACAATCATTCCATACACCAAATATAGTAGACCTATTGCATACAGTATAAAAAAAACAGACCAAAACACAAAAACTTAACTATAACCACTGAACCATGAAAATGAGGGCAAGGTCAGATGACACCTGCCAGTTGGACATGTACACCTTAAAGTCCTTCCATACACCGAATATACTTGACCTATTGCTTATAGTATCTGAGATATGGACTTGACCACCAAAACTTAACCTTGTTCACTGATCCTTGAAATGAGGTTGAGTTCAAGTGAAAACTGTCTGACGGACATGAGGACCTTGCAAGGTACGCACATACCAAATATAGTTATCCTACTACTTATAATAAGAGAGAATTTAACATTACAAAAAATGTTAACTTTTTTTTCAAGTAGTCACTGAACCATGAAAATGAGGTCAAGGACATTGGACATGGGACTGATGGAAACTTCGTAACATGAGGCATCCATATACAAAGTATGAAGCATCCAGGTCTTCCACCTTCTAAAATATAAAGCTTTTAAGAAGTTAGCTAATGCCGCCGCCGCCGGATCTCCATCCCTATGTCGAGCTTTCTGCGACAAAAGTCGCAGGCTCGACAAAAACTCAAATATTCCATACCCCCATATAAAGGGGGGGGAGCTTGTAATGCACTATTGGCACATTTTTTTTCTGTTTAATTTTAGGTATGATTCTTTTCTACTATGTTTTCAGAAAGTAATATTGTCTTACAATATCTATTTTCAGTAAATATGACCTTGACCTTAGACCTAGACTTCAAAATCAATAGGGATCTGACTCTCACATATCAAAACAAGATTGCAAACCAATAAGAAGTCTTTCTTACACAAATTATAGTCTATCTTTAAAAATATGACCTCAAAATCAATTGGGATCTTCCTCTCCTCATTATGTTTGACCATATACCCAAGTAACGTTGCAGTCTGATAAAAATCATTTTGACCTTACCTTCCAGATATAATTTTTCTTCATAAATTTAAGTCTACTATAGTAACTATGACCTTGATCTTGGACATAGTGACCTCAAAATCAAAATAGATCTTCCACTCATTATATGTTGTCTTATCGCACCTTGGCCAAACTAGCGATGTTGTGATTGGTTTCATGCTGTCACGTGGTGACCCCTATGAATCTGTAGGGGGTAAATAGATTCCATAGGGGTATCATGACGTTATGTCTATTATTAACAGTGACGTCATCTATTAATATTATTGTATTTCATTGTTTATTTTTACACAAAACTAGGCAGGAAAAGTCCTGTGTGCGATAAATTTGTTGTATGGTTCATTACTGACCCCCTACGGATCCATAGAGGGTTAAAAAATTACATAAGGGGTGAGGTCGAACAATAAAATTAATAAAGGATGTCACCAACTGCCTTCGGCCTCACCCCCTATGTATTTTACTAACCCTCTATGGATCCATAGGGGGTCAGTAGCAAACTATACAACTTATAATATGACCAAATAAGGTTGCAATCCCATATATATATATATATAGTATTTGATTTAAAACTAGTAAACAACTTTTCCTCACAAATTTCTGTTTATCATTAGTAACTGTGACCTTGACTTTAGATGTAGTGACCTCAAAATCAATAGAGATTTTTCTCTCATAATATCTCACCATATACCCCAGTAAGGTTGCAATCTGATATAAACTATTTAAAAGTTAAAACAGGGGCATTTCAATCCTTTTGTGGTAGGGGTGAGTGGCTGGGACATCAAATACCCTTTTCATTTTGAATAACAAAAATATACATGTATACCCTACCATATTTTCTTCAAAAAATGTACCTATACAATATTTCATGGAGAGATAATTTGATTTGACAAATAGATGATGCATTTACGACAGAGGTTTTAATCTCATCTGTGAAAAATATTGACATCTGATTAATTTCAAATACTTATGATTCAATCAACAACCTTTTCATATATTTCATCTTAATTTTTAGACCTTATCAAAAACATGAAGCTTGAAAATAGTGAGCTATTCCAGCGGCTCATCCATACCTTACCTAAAATGACACATTATGTGTTGACACACAGTCCAACCCCAAAAGATAGTTTAGCCACATTAACACAGATGTAGCAAAATATCTTTTTGGATAAAGCTGTAGCTCATATTTAAATATTGATGACAAAATCATAAAATGAGGCTTTTTGCAGTTTTAAATCAAATGCAGAAACTTTGGAGCCCTGAAACAAATACAGCCAACTGAAAGACTATCCTGCGAACATTTAAAGGATGTTTAGTTTAAGAATACTTCAAAAACATCAATATCATTAACAGAATAAGAATTTCTGTCCATAGGACACAATGCCCTGCTTACACAATCACATTTCTATGTTCAGTTAACTTCAAAATTTTGGTAAAAACTCTAATTTGGCATATAGTTTTAATAGTTCATGTCATTATAAACATGTGTACTAAGTTTCAAATGACCACAATGTCCTGATAAACTACCTTAAACTAAAAATGTTCCCTGATTTTAGGACAGACAGACGCTTGGACAGAGGCACGGACAGAAAAATATTATACCCCTCTACTACCAAAGGCAGGCTAAAATAAAAATTCGTAAGGGTTCCGCGGAACCCAGTGTCTCGCCTACTTCTGCTGTTAATCACGGGCTCAACAAAAATGAGGAAAAAAATTAATAAAAATATTCCTCTCTATACTATCTTTTGATTGTAAGTAGCTTCTGTCCAAGTTTGGTAAAAATCCAGGATAGTTTATGAATCTAATAAATGTTTTAAAATAAAAACTTAAACTGCAGACTGTTATGTAATGTTAACTGGAAGAAAAACTAAGTCCATTTATAAGTAAAATACGGAAAAAATGGAACAAAATTTTAACAAAATTTCCTTTTAGATACTAGCTTTTAATCATAAACAAGCTTCTGTCCAAGTTTGGTACAAATCCAGGATAGTTTAAGAAAGTTGTTAAAATTTTAAAAACTTTAACTACAGAGTGAATGTAATGTTAACTGGCAGAAAAAACTAAGTCCATTTATAAGTAAAATACAAAAAAAAATTGAATTTTTGTTTACAAAATTTACTTCTGGATACTATCTTATGATCACAAACAAGCTTCTTTCCAAGTTTGGTACAAATCCAGGATAGTTTAAGAAAGTTATTAAAATTTCAAAAACTTTAACCACAGAGTGAATGTAATGTTTCCTGGCAGAAAAACTAAGTCCATTTACAAGTAAAATACGGAAAAAATAGAATTTTTTTTTTACAAAATTTACTTCTGGATACTATCTTATGATCACAAACAAGCTTCTTTCCAAGTTTGGTACAAATCCAGGATAGTTTAAGAAAGTTATTAAAATTTCAAAAACTTTAACCACAGAGTGAATGTAATGTTTCCTGGCAGAAAAACTAAGTCCATTTACAAGTAAAATACGGAAAAAATAGAATTTTTTTTTTACAAAATTTACTTCTGGATACTATCTTATGATCACAAACAAGCTTCTTTCCAAGTTTGGTACAAATCCAGGATAGTTTAAGAAAGTAATTAAAATTTCAAAAACTTTAACCACAGAGTGAATGTAATGTTTCCTGGCAGAAAAACTAAGTCCATTTATAAGTAAAATACGGAAAAAATGGAATTTTTTTTTTTACAAAATTTACTTTTGAATATTATCTTATGATCATAAACAAGCTTCTGTCCAAGTTTGGTAGAAATCCAGGGTAGTTTAAGAAAGTTATTAAAATTTCAAAAACTTTAACCACAGAGTGAATATTTGTGGACGCCGCCGACGACGACGACGGAATGTAGGATCGCTATGTCTCGCTTTTTCGACAAAAGTCAAAGGCTCGACAAAAATGCTGCTCAATAAAAACTTTGTACTATAATTACCTCATTTGTAGTATCTTCTGTTACATCCACTTCATACAATTCATCCTGGAAAAAAATATGAAAAGAATACCTTTATAAACTTGTTTTTTACAACCTATAGATAATTCTTTTATATTTATATCAAGTGATATAATGGATGAATGGGGTAATATTAAATGAAACCTTTTTTGTCCAAAACTGACAGATCAAAACAAAAAATTCTGTACTCTCTACCAGTAAACTTGTCATGATGAAAATATGCTCAGGTATTATCTAATGTAATGGTATCGATAAATCATCAGCTGGTCTCTTTTGACCATACATCTGATCAGGGGCGGATCCAGCCATTTAAAGAAGGGGGGGGGGGGGGTTCCTTACCCAGGATAAAGAGGGGGGGGGGGGTCCAACTATATGTCCCCATTCAAATGCATTGATCGTCAAAAAAAAAGGGGGGTTCCAACCCCTGGAACCCCCCCTGGATCCGCCACTGTTGATCAATACATAACATTTTCATGATTTTGAGATATTACAACTGATTTTGGTGTTGGACGTTAGAAGATTAAAAATGGAGATTAACTTGACTTACACCAAAGTCAAATGTGATTTTCTAAACAGTATAGTACTGTGGATTCGTTTATTTTCGTGGATACTAATTTCAATGGATTGAGGTAAAATTATGATTTCATGGTTTTGGCTATAAGTGTGTATACAAACCTATAGAAAATTTATACAGCGTTGAACATTTAAATTTGTGATTTACCTATACACACAAAATCTAAAAAAAATTGGTATCCAACGAATAATAATGAATCCACATTATCAATTATCTTATGTCAAACTTAAATGGAAATAATTACTTTGAATTACATTTATACTAAAACTTTCACTAAATAAATTGCCTCGCCGGATGCAGCTGGATACGACCGCAGAGGCCCAACCCTGAACAGTTGGGACAAAAATGGACACAATATCGCGCTTGATAGAGGTCTGAATTTGGATTGTAATTAAATATTTGACACATAATTGGTTTCTGACACAGAATGACTGTAGTCAAAGAACTTAGAATTGGTTATATGATTTGAATTTATATTCAATTTTTTGCTTTTGTGCAATACACTGTGCCTGTGCGAATTTTCCAAACTAGAGGCTCTCAAGAGCCTGTGTCGCTCACCTGATTCTACTTTGGTTTTGGAAATCATGTAAAAATAGATTAAAATCATAACAGATACCCTAATAATGAGTGAGGCCAAATTTGGTTTAATATTGGTCCTGTAATTTAATAAAAAATCCTGGTGGCCATCTTGAACAGTAAATCAGCAACAAAGTAGCAACACTTAATCAGCACCTCATAAGAAACATTTATGCCATGTTTTGGTTTCATTCCATTCAGTGCACCTCTAGAAGAAGCATTTGTATGTATTTCCCATAGGGTCTTATGTTAAAGGAAGTCCCCCCATTGGCGGCCATCATGGATGATGAATCAGCTTCAAAGTAACAAAACTTAGTCAGCATCTCATAAGGAACATTCATGCCATGTTTGTTTTCAATCCATTCAGTATGTGGTTCTCTAAAAGAAGTCATTTGTATGTATTGTCCATAGGGTCCTTTGTTAAACATTGCCCCCATCTGGCAGCCATAATGGATGAAGGATCAGCTTCAAAGTAACAACACTTGGTCAGCACCTCAAAAGGAACATGCATGCCATGTTTGGTTTCATTCCATTCAATGGTTCTCTAAAAGAAAACATTTGTACATATTTCTCATAGGGTCTTATGTTTAACTAAGTCCTCCGCTGGCGGCCATCTTAGATTATGGATCTGCTTCATAGTAACAACACTTGGTCAGCACCTCATAAGGAACATTCATGCCATGTTTGGTTTCATTGCATTTAGTGGTTCTCTAAAAGAAGACATTTTTATGTATTTCCCATAGGGTCCTATGTTAAACTAAGTCCCCCGCTGGCTGCCATCTTGGATGATGGATCAGCTTCAAAGTAACAACACTTGGTCAGCACCTCATAAGGAACATTCATACCATGTTTGGTTTCATTCCATTCAGTAGTTCTCTAAAAGAAGACGTTTGTATGTATTTCCCATAGGGTCCCATGTTAAACTAAGTCCCCCGCTGGCGGCCATCTTGGATTAGGGATCGGCTTCAAAGTAACAACACTCGGTCAACACCTCATAAGGAACATTCATGCCATGTTTGGTTTCATTCCATTCAGTGGTTCTCTAAAAGAAGACATTTGTATGTATTTCTCATAGGGTCCCATGTTAAACTAAGTCCCCTGCAGGCGGCCATCTTGGATTATGGATTGCCTCAAAGTAACAACACTTGGTCAGCACCTTATAAGGAACATTCATGCCATGTTTGGTTTCATTCCATTCAGTGGTTCTCTAAAAGAAGACATTTGTATGTATTTCCTATAGGGTCCAATGTTAAACTAAGTCCCCTGCTGGCGGCCATCTTGGATTATGGATCAGCTTCATAGTAACAACACTTGGTCAGCACCTCATAAGGAACATTCATGCCATGTTTGGTTTCATTCCATTCAGCGGTTCTCTAAAAGAAGACATTTGTATGTATTTCCCATAGGGTCCCATGTTAAACTAAGTCCCCAGCTGGCGGCCATCTTGGATTATGGATCGGCTTCAAAGTAACAACACTCGGTCAGCACCTCATAAGAAACATTCATGCCATGTTTGGTTTCATTCCATTCAGTGGTTCTCTAAAAGAAGACATTTGTATGTATTTCCCATAGGGTCCCATGTTAAACTAAGTCCCCAGCTGGCGGCCATCTTGGATTATGGATCGGCTTCAAAGTAACAACACTCGGTCAGCACCTCATAAGAAACATTCATGCCATGTTTGGTTTCATTCCATTCAGTGGTTCTCTAAAAGAAGACATTTGTATGTATTTCCCATAGGGTCCCATGTTAAACTAAGTCCCCAGCTGGCGGCCATCTTGGATTATGGATCGGCTTCAAAGTAACAACACTCGGTCAGCACCTCATAAGAAACATTCATGCCATGTTTGGTTTCATTCCATTCAGTGGTTCTCTAAAAGAAGACATTTGTATGTATTTTCCATAGGGTCCTATGTTAAACTAAGTCCCCCGCTGGCGGCCATCTTGGATGATGGATCCGCTACAAAGTAACAACACTTGGTCAGCACCTCATAAGGAACATTCATGCCATGTTTGGTTTCATTCCATTCAGTGGTTCTCTAGAAGAAGTTCAAAATGTAAAAAGTTAACGCCGACGACGGACGACGGACGCCAAGTGACGAGAAAAGCTCACTTGGCCCTTCGGGCCAGGTGAGCTAAAAAAACAACATTCTTTCCCTCAAGATATGGTCATAATCTCAATTCAAATTTCCAATGGAGTTTGCAACCATAACTACCCATTTAAATACATCATAAAAGTCTTAAATAGATAATTTAAAAGCAGTGTAAGGGAGGTAATCCAACATTGTACAACATTGAACAATTTTGTTTTTGGATTACCTCCCTTACACTGCTTTTAAATTGTCCATTAACCAGGAAACCCTTGTTTTTTCCCCTTTTTTGCCCCTAATTCCTAAATGGTTTGAGCCATAACCCCCAAAGCCAATCCTATCCATCCCTTTGTGGTATGGAAACTTGTGGTATAATTTCAGAGAGATCCATACACTTAAACACAAGTTATTGTCTGGAAAATAGAAAAATGCCTTTTTGGGCCTCTTTTTGGCCCCTTTTTCCTAAACTGTTAGGACCATAACCCCCAATATCAATCCCAATCTTCCTTTTGTGGTTATAAACCTTGTGTTTAAATTTCATAGATTTCTTTTTACTTATACTAAAGTTATTGTCCGGAAACCAACTGTCTGCGGACGACGACGACAACGTGATACCAATATACGACCACAAAATTTTCTTGCGGTCGTATAAAAACAGATTTTCTTCTTTAAGCATCTTACTATTAGGGATCATTAGAACAGTAAAATTCCACAACTTGATAGGCAAAAGCATCCACAGCAGCCAGGTCAGACTTTGTAGAATGATCCCATGCATTTTTTTGTAATAGTATTCGAAATGGGTCAAAATTTATAATATTTGGGGCCAAATTGGGGGATATAGTTATGTACAGAATTGTAGTTAATGATATTTTTTTTTTTATCAAAAATGTTTATGTTTGTTAGAACTGTTCATGGGCAAATACCCTTCACCAGAGAAGTCAGTCTTGGTACAAGTATAGTTTCATTGCATATAGGTTTTAATAGGTGTAGATGTAATCACAAAAAACTGTGCCTTTGTATATTTTACATGTTTTTCCTGTAGATATTCACCATTTCTTTTGAATGTGAGACTACTGATACTTACATCTTTAGAACTGAACTCTGTACATCCATTTAAATCTATTGCCATCCCATTCAGATTTTGAATATCAAACTGAAAATATAAATGTCCAATTGTCCATTAATTCTTAAAACATGACAAAAAATTGCCTAACACAAGATTGGAAATTTGAACATTTTTTCTTTGCAATTTAAAATAAACGTAGAAAGTCTTGCTTGATAACTTGAGACAATTGTTCTACATAATGATTCTTTAGTTATTACTCTTATATATCAATTGACATTTTATATCCATTCTGACCACATGAGAAATGAAAGCAAATAATATTTTTGTATAGTATATGGTACTACACAAAGAATTCAATTCATTGTAAATATGTTTTAGTTTACAGTCAATGTTTGTATCATTGTCTGATTCTTCAATAAACTTGCACTTAAATACTAAATAATCAGTTTTTCTTCAATACATATACAAAATATTAAGGTTTTACTTTAGAGTCTACTTTAATTGTTGACTGTATCAAAAATATTGTTCTATTATAACATAATAATACATGCCTACTGATTATTTAATCACTTGATTGGTTGACCAATTGGTGTTAAATGTGTAAAATTATTAAACCCTGCTGGGGTCTAAACAGCTCCATAAATCATACAATTATAAATTGTTTGGTTGTTATTTGGTTGTTATTTTCATTTGATCTTACAAAACTGATCTTACAAAAGATTAAGAAAAAATATGTAACTTGTATTTTCCAATGAACTTATTACTTGATTTTAAGGTAGTATTAACCTTCATATGCAAACAAATATAACTACAATTTCAGGACATACATTTACAGGTGCCTTAATAAGCCATAGGTCCTTGTGTCTGAGATCTTCTTTACACATATCTGTATTGGATTCAGTAAGTTTAGATGGTTCATATCCTTCTGGTATGTTGTATCTACAAAATATATATGAAAACCTGCATAAGACAATCTTCAAAACTTTTAAAATCCCTGTTTTGAGTTATTTCCCTTTCTAAAGATTTTTTTTCATTAACTTTTAAAAATAACCCAAGAAGAAAACTTATTAATTGATAATATTTTTGCCCCAGTTTTAAAAATATTTTATTTTAGGGAATAATTGGCCAAAAATCATATCTTCTCCTCTGGCATCTTTATTTTTATGAAAGAATAAAGGCATGTATTACCTCAGTTTTAAATTTTGCTCCGTTTGGTTTGTCATATCTTCCTGATCACTTTCTATGTTCCCAATTGTGTGAGATTTTCTCTTCTTCTTATGAACCCTTGAAGACCCTTTTAACTGACTACCAGATGTAGAAGTACTAAATATTGATTGAGACATCAGTGGTTCTTCATCACCAGAATTTTCATCTGAACTGTCTGCTGTTGTCTTTGCTTCAATTATTCTTAACTTTCTTTTTTTCTTTGGTGAAGCTATACTAAAATCTGACATTTCATCCATACTGGATTTTGCATGCTGTTCAGCTATACTGTGAATTTCTCTCTCTACACTTTGATCAGAATCAGAAATGTCATGTTCTAACCAATGTTTGGAAGCGTCTAAAGATGAATCAGAACCACTTGAAGTTGTAGGAGATTTTGAACGATTTGACCTTTTTTTACTATGTCTCTCATGTTCTAATGAAATCTTCCTATTTTTAACTGAATTGTTTTTTACTCCCTGTTTTGAAGGACTTTTAGATTGAACAATTCTTTGCTGTTTCTTTGTGTTTTTTGCTGAAAGTTTATCTTTTTCTGTTTCTGTAGTTGATATGTCCAATAACTTCCTCCTTGATGATTTTTTTACATGGCTGTCACTTGTTCCAGAAACCATAATGCTTAGCAAAGAGATTTAATAAATATTTTCCTGCTAATTTTCCAAACAATGATCAATTTGCCTCAAAAAGTTTTTCCTCTCATCTCCCAATATAAGTTACATTGTATATCTATGTAAATAATATGGTCTACACAACTCTACCGTCTAAGTAACTTCACTCTATATTTCAACTCCTTACTTCAGATAATTCTCTCTACAATTAAGCAAACTCTTCTACAAAGTAAATAATTAGAATTAGATAATTTAGTGTCATATCACAGATATCCCAACTGACAGCTACTACTCTGGTTACTACATGTATATAGGTAACCAACCATAATTCTTGAAAAGGAAGATGAATGTATCATTAACCAAAGTATGGGAAAAATTGGCTCATAACAGGATTTCTCAAAATTTCTTAATTATTTTGTTCTTCAAATTTTACATTATTGAAATAATAGCAGCCCATGGGTAAGGGCAGTTAGGACTGTTAACAAAAACTTTTTACAGAAGATTGTAAATTCATTATCTAATTTCAATTAATTATCTTTTTCTTCTTGCTGTGGTAAGTATCAGAGTGCCATCTGTTGTATTCTGCTGGAATGACCTGCTTTCTTAGAAAAACTAACAGTTATAATAATATATCCAAATTTTGACTTATTCTCAGTGTCAAATTTTTCATTCAAATAAAAACACTGCATTCACCTCTGCATTTACAATATTTTTAATATTGTATATATTGTGCAAAATTTTTTCTGTGATTAAAAATAAAAAGATACATTCTATTCAATACAAGATTTCAAAAATATGTTTATCATAAGCACTTTGGGTATACTGTTCTATTTTGTTAAGTTTTAGTGTATATGTTGTGTACAAGTTATCATTTTGTACAAATTATAACATGTACAAAAAAATTGTACAAATTATAATTTGTATTTTGACTTTGTACAAATTGTAATTTCTGACTAAAATTCATTTATAACTTGTACAATAATTAATAGTATTGATTTTGTTATAAAAAAACAAGGATACACATTATATTTTTTTTATTCAATGACCACACAATTAACCTTATTTACAAAATACAAAAAATAGTTATGTCTCATTTGTTTGAGCATGTGAGTGAATTATGGCATCGAGAATTGCACAATATCTTTTGCTTTTTACATTAACATGTGCTGCACCCCTTTTACATTTACATGAAATAAACCCCTGACCACCAGTTTCTGAAAGCTTGATAACTGTTTCACGTAGAGAAAGTTGAAGCTCAGGGACTGTTACTGCGAAAAAGATGTGTCTTTAACAGCTTCAATTTGATTTCTCGACCAATATCATGCTAAAATTCCTACAACTGTTCCAATAGACCTACGATATTTCGACTATCAATTGGGGCACGATCATACTGAGGAATTGGTATAATGACATTATCCCCCACAGCAAGTTCTGGGGCCTGTTTATCGAAGCAGTCTTAGGATTAGGACGTGTCCTAAGACCAACTTGAGACATATCTTAGTCCTAACTGGGTTTATCAAACATGTCGCAACTTACGATAATCCTAGGAATTGTCCCAACTTTAGGATACTAATTTAGGTGTCTTAAGATGTTCTTAAGATGGTCCTAACTTTAGGATATATTTAGGATGGTTATTTTATTAATAAATATGGCCTGTGTTGGTTTCATTTACTTTAATGCATATTGAATCCCTATCTCTCTTTTCAATACCATTAGTTGCAACATTTGATAGTTTACTAAAATGCAGAGTTTTACTCTTTTCCACTTCGTTCAGAAGAGTCTGTAGTTCTGCATCAGTAAAATGCGGATTTCCTCTCTTGCTCATATTCACAAGTATATATTTTTTTTTGGCAGTAATAAAATAGTTGATGAACTCCGTATTTATATGAAAGATGCACAAGATTTGCCTTTGAACTTTTAAGTATGAAACCATGACACGTCAAAATCAGCTCACCCAAAGCATATACATGTAATGACTTTACCAATTAAATATTTAATTTTAACTATTTACAATTAGTTTGTTCAATTCTTATATAAAACGTAATCCTAAGATAGCTTCGATGTGCATGCTGAGACATGTCGTAATTTGGTCCTTACTTACCCTAATTTCAGTCCCAAAAAATTCTTAGGACAGACCTTAGGACAGTTTCTATAAACAGGCCCCTGATGATAAACGTTTCCTTTTCTTGTTTAGATATTCGGGTTGGATCAGTTTGCCAGATAGAGCACGCTTCCTGACACGTATGATCAAGGTGTTTCAACGTCAGTGTCATCCTGATTGTCACTCGGGCAATTTTCTATTATACTATCAGAATTGTCACTCGGCTAATTTCTATTATACTATCAGAATTGTCGGTGGAACCAATTTTTATTTTTCTATCAGAATTGTCACTTGGGCCAATTTCTATTTTGCTAGCAGAATTAACTGACATGCATGTACATTTCCTGTCTCCATCTTGGTATTTTTTTAATTTTTTTTTTGTAAATAAGATTTAGTTTGTGGTCATTGAATACAAACTCTATATCGTGTATCATTGGTATTTTAAAACAAAATCCATACTTAAAATTATTGTACAAGCACTTTTTGTACAAATTACAATTTGTACAAAGTCAAAATACAAATTATAATTTGTACAATTTTTTTGTACAAATTATAATTTATACAAAATGATAACTTGTACACAACATATACATGGTATACAAATGCATGAATAAACTTTGTTTTAAATATCAAAATGTCAAAAAAGCTAAATGACAGTAAATATGCACTTTCTAAAGTTTAAGATAATTTACAGAAACTGAATTTGGTTAGAATCAACAAACTTAAAATACTGAACATTAAAAACAGATATTTCTACACAGACATGACAAATCAATTCTATCATTTTGGAATTTCTCCACAGACTGAGACATGACAGATCAATCTTTCGTTTTGAAACTCAGTAAATATCCCAAGGCCCATGAGTTACAGTTCTGCAGCTAATTCTTTGAATTTAGAATTATTGTGAAAATAAAAATGGATGGTACCATCAAGATTCGACCCCTGAATCTTTGGATCTAAAGGCAGCACTCTAACCGACTGAGCCAAAGAAGATCTTTCCTAACTCAACCAGTTAGACTACTTTTATATGAAATTGCATGTCCATTGAAACAACTCTTGAACCCCTTTTCTTTTTTCATGCTGCATACCATCCTGGCATTTGAGCAGCTCACATGTCAACTACCTGACAAACCCTACATTTGTAGGTCTTTCACTTTGAAACCCTCTGGTCAGTTCCTTGCATGTCATAGTCATCCCTAATGACCTGCTGGTCATACCATAGTCCAAATAATTATGATGTCTTGAAAGGCTATCTTAATTTTTTTTGCTGTCACTCCTTCCTAGTATCTACAATTATTCGCTGCTATAAAATAAAATAGCCTTTCAAGACGTCATAATTTCATGTATTAGGACTATTTATACCCTATGACTCTCAAAAGATATTCATTTCAAATCACTGGCCTACTGACGATGCTTATCCTCATGGGTTTTCGTGCTATTAAGAATGCATTGTGACGTCACAATTTCCATTGAAAAAGCATGCATAGTACGAATTCATATGACCTACGAAAACATGATCTGACCATATGTCCGTTCAACCCCAGTGTTCTGTAGTTAGAAAATATCAATATAGTATAATATTTAAATAAAAGGTTTTTTTTTTTCTTTTACACTTAATATATGTTACATTTCAGTTTATGGCAAATTATGCTGGAACATTCAACTTTACAAAATGCAATAATATTGCCAAAAATTCACTTTAAAAATAAAAATTATCCATTTTCGATCAAGAGAAATGGGGGGGGTCAACAAATGAGGAGCATACTAAAATTCAAGATTTTTGCATCTTATACATTTAATTTTGTGTTCCTTGCATCTACAATCTTTGGTTTTGTTGTTGTCGCATACCATACCATGTGCACAATATAGCCTGGTTTCTGGATTCGATAGTCAATTCGGACGGAACCAGTCGATAACTAAAATAAATATACAATCCCGTATGGATAATTTGTTTTTCATAAGTATGAATAAATGAATACTTCAGATTAAAAAGGTAGTCCAGTTAGTAACAATATAGTTTATCTTCCCTGGGTTCCTCCTTAAAATAAAAAAAAAATGATTCTTATATGAATAAATGTACATTGGTACAATTCCATACTAACTGATTTCTATAGTTTGTTCTTATGTTGTACTGTTACACCACTGTCCCATGTTAGGGGAGGGTTGGCGCTCCTTCAAACTAGTTTAACCCCGCCACATTCTGTATGTGCCTGTCCCAAGTCAGGAGCCTGTAATTCAGTGGTTGTCGTTTGTTGCTGTATACCATCATTTGTTTTTCGTCATAAATCAGGCCGTCACAAGTTTGTTTTCTCGTTTGAATTGTTTTACATTTGTCATTTCGGGGCCTTTTATAGCTGACTATGCGGTATGGGTTTTACTCATTGTAATGTTGAAAGCCGTACGGTGACCTATAGGTGTTAATTTCTGTGTCTTTTTGGTTTCTTTTGGAGAGTTGTTTCATTGTCAATCATACCACATCTTCTTATTTTTATATTTTATACACTGTATAGAGTCAGTTGTGAAATAAGATATTTCAAATATTTTCTTGTCTATACATTGAATATTTCATATATGTTTCTTTTGTCTTTTCGTCGTTTTTCTTCGACTTCCGATTTTTATTTGCTAACTAGTATCCGTTCTCTTCCCTTTTTAATGTTTATGATCATCTGTCGTCAAATTGAATGTCCATATCAAGTTTTAATGTAAAGCAAAATATTGGGCCTGAAATAATGTCCCTAAAGAAAACATTTCATGACTTTGTATCACGAAATTTTGTCCCCATCTATGATATATTGTCCAGTGAAGGACAAATTTCCTTTGAAATATTGTCCATATACAGGCAATATGAGGGTCGTAATGGGGGTACCTTCATGATGAATAACGGTACAAAATCTTGCCAATGTCGTTAACGGTAATTTTAGGTGCCTGACGATAAACATGATGAACATTTTCTTTATGACGATAATAAAAATCAACTGATTTTGACGAATAACGTTAAGTTCTTTCCTAAAATAACGGTAACGGTTAATTATTTCATAACTCTGACGAATCACGATAAGGATATTTTGACGAATCACGATAAAATTTTAACCAATTTGACGCTAACGGTAGCCGAAAATGACCGTTTGACGCCTCGGTAAAGGGCATTTCTACCCTCCAATATGTCATAGAAAGATAGTATGACAGTTTGTCTTGTAAAAGGGAGGTTATCCAAGGTTATATATTGTGTTTAGTGAGACAATATTTCATAAATAAATTGTCATGAAATTTTGTTTCATGAAAGGTAAAGCTATATAAACATTTAATATTTTGGATAATGAGTATCATTAGTTTTATTTGATTGAAAATAAGGAACAAACCTGCATAACTTATTAATGCAGCAATTTATGGTTATACACATACTCTTTATGAAAAATATTAAATATTTCCAGTCACATTCCATGACAGAGGATTTCTCAGGGAAGACATCATTAGATTCAGAAATGTTTCCGTGGACAGTATTTCACAGTGAAATATTGTCACAGACAGATTTTCACATTGAAATATTGTCATGGACAAAATTTCACAGTGAAATATTTTCATGGACAGCATTTTATAGTGAAATATTGTTCAGAAGGAGGTGACTAAATCTCATGGACAATAACTTATATGAAATTTTGTCCGACGGACAATATTTCATGGGTACTTTATTTTATGTTACATTAACACCTCAGTTGATACTGTCTCGTGGGGTTAAAACAAGCCGACTTTAGGATTGAAAACAACTTCAAACATTTTTGCAGTCCTGGAGTGGTTCTGGCTGCTACTGCTCGGCTTAACGTATGTAATTTGATACATGTTTAAGCATCTTAAAGGGCATTAGCTATGAGATATGTATATAAAAAAATCAATCTGATTAAGATATAGTTCTTTGATTTCGTTTATACTTATATGTTCGAGGACGCGAGCTAATATAGGTCTGAATTTTAATCATATTGATATAATTTTGTTTCAATCATTAATGAAAGTGAAATAATGAAATAATAATCCGCGTTTAGCAGCCAGTTTAGTTCAATTTTGTCAAAATAAGCTAAGAAATATCGCTGATGAATTATTCACTTGTAAGTGAATAATTCGACCTCATTAAATCCGTATTCATGTGATCTTCAATTTAACCCCTTATCTAGAGATGGATTACGCATACACTAGGCGTGTTCAGCTATTAAAAGGAAAAGAATGTCAACATTGAAAGTGAAACAAGGGTAAACCATTTGGTTGACTGATTCGATCCACACAAAATCATTCTTATACAGGTAAAAACGATGATTAACATATTTTTAACCTATAATATGAAATCAAACAGACCTAGAAAAATCCAATTGCACGTGTTCGCTAACTATTTATATCTAATATTTATTTATATCGGGTCATATCATATTAAATGACCGTCAGCATTCTTCGGAGGTCACCTAGATGGTTAATTAGATGGCGTCTAGACTAAAATACACACGAAATACTGATATATATTATCGAGTCCCAGGATTCCCTACATCGTAAATTGTTTATTTTAGACTTTTTATTATTTGAATATATGTTTTAGTATATTATAAATCAAATATGAGAATTAGAGTCAAATCGGTGAACATTAATTTGACAGCTAATGCCCCTTTAATGTTTCCTGACTAGCTTTCATTATTATTTTGTTTAATGTTTCATTATGTTATACCCCATCACACTAGGACCACGATCCCGCTACGACCTCAGAAATTATTTAAAATTTTGGAATATCGTAGTAAGATCGTGGTGGTCATAGTAAGGACGTGACAAGGTCTTCATGATCGTTGAGGTCCACGACCAACTTTGAACATGCTTAAAACATTCGTAGTGCAGTCGTGGCCAAAACTAGTCATTGTAGAAGCGTAGGAAGGTCGTAGTAATGGCGTAATAAGATCGGAGTGGGCGAAGAAGCATCGTATTGGAAACGTGGTGCAATCGGGAAGCCAATGGAAAAGATTTCGCTGCGACCTGACTACGATTTCACTGCGACTATCCCGATTTCACTACGTCTTTATTACGCTATCTTCTACTACGATTAAACTACGATGAAGACGACAATAGAACACTGCTACTACGCGCTTGCCGTCCTTAGTACGACCTTACTGCGATACTACTACGTTCTAGCCACGATAATTGCACGACCTCATTCTGTTGATACCTCTACTTTTAGCACCACGACCTCTAAATGTTTTTGATACCTTTGGCGGCATGTTTTCTCAAGGAAACTGGAGTGTACAATGGGAAAGTCAAGATATTTACAGGGACGAAGAGTGCAGTGACAACGTAGTGGAAACGTAGTGGAGTCGTGGTTCGATCGTACTAGACTCGTATTGAGATCGTAATGCGATCGGGAAGGTCTTGGTAGAAGCGTACAGAGAGTAAATACACGTGTAAGTCGTTGTAAGGTCTTATTAGATGTAGCAAGAGCGTGACAATATCGTAACTAGAACGTGTTACTATTGTAGCGGAATCGTAGTGCTGTCAGGATCTTATCAGGATCATAGCAAAGTCGTGGTATGAACGTGAATACTATGAAATATTGAATATTCAAGCCGACCATACCACGATCACGATCTCACCCGCGATCTTATCTGCATGGTTACCTCACATTCGGTGAAATAGGGGCACTTAGTACACCATATGCACCAACTCTAGAACGGTTATGTCTGTCTCGTGAAAAGGAGGTTATAAAAAATAGTATTTTATTGATAATAACACACATATATTACATGTATAAGTGATAGTCAGTACTTTTCTTATATCTAAACAGTACAATATGGTACAATTAAGATATTTGACTATATTCATTTATAAATGCAAATTTGAAATTAGCTTATGATAAAATATATAATTGTTATGATAAAATATATAATTGTACCAGTAAAATCAGAACCATTGACACGCGATGAAAATAGGAATCGATGCTATCAACATCAGCAACGCCGGTTCTTCATAACAAAGAATTGATATCTAAAATTCCGCTTTATTTTCAAAATCAGTGCACTTAAAGTATTTAAAAATAAATAAGTATTGCAAGATTTTGATTTATTCTCCTTGAAAAACCCTCTGACATGTGACTGTTCCCAGGCCACTCTCCATATATTTACAAGCCCTCTGGCCATTTAATTACTCGTGATCTAAACATAATTCAACATGAACGTCTCAGGAAGGTGATATGTCATGGTCCCAAATATAGAGTGCCAAACACATCAATTGGAACCATAACTTTAAAATAATAATGGACTCCGTTGAGGGTTACGCCAGAGTATGGAAAAAAACGAGAAGAGAGTGAACTAGAAATTCTGTCAGAATGGGTTAAGGCAATTAATTGGCTGATACAGCGTAGCATCCGCAAATTGAAAAACTGTGTAAAAGTTCGACCTAAGTCCGTATTCAGAGATAAATAAGCTGTAAAAAGTCTCTTCACGAAAAAGATGTTGTTGTTCCTGCTGACAAAGCTTCAAACAATTTTGTTTTTGTCTGTAAACTTTGTCCTATTACAACGAGTGTCTTATCAAAGAATTAGGAATAAATGAACAATCGGGTAATCCCACGTACAAAAACGTAACTTTTGATAAGGATGATTTCTTGGCAAACCATATGTCCTTCATGGTCCCATTGAATATTTCAATTAGCAAATAATCTGAGCCTTGTTTGTATGGGATACATAAACTCCACAGAGCTCCGAACAAACAACGGTAAAGTACCAGCTCATCTGCATGTTCTACCAAGGAATTGTCGGTCTGATTAACAAAAATTGTGTCCGCAGTGAAAGAGGGTTTACAGAAATACAGCGAATCTGTTTAGTGGCGTAGTAATTACTCGTGATCTAAACATAATTCAACATGAACGTCTCAGGAAGGTGATTTGTCATGGTCCCAAATTTAGAGTGCCAAACACATCAATTGGAACCATAACTTTAAAATAATAATGGACTCCGTTGAGGGCTACGCCAGAGTATGGAAAAAAACGAGAAGAACTAGTAGGAAGGTACCAAGACCTTACAGATAAATATTCAGACTCTACTTCACAAATAATACAAGATGGTCTTGCGTTATAGATTCTAGGTGCTAAAGTTGTGTATCTTTTTATTAACTTTACGGTTTTCCCTTTATTTGTCTTTGTTTTATTAAGTTCCTTTTGGTCGTATGACTCTTGACGTGACTGCGTATCTGTACATCCAGCTATCGGGTTTCTGGCTTTGGGCGTTCCTGGTGAAGATGGACCCAGAGGTGCGATTCGTTCCGTTGGTTGATAAAGTCTTATGTTTGATTTTTTATCTTCAGTTTGTATGGACCGGCCCCTTTTTAATTTACCTTGGAGTTTGGTATTTTTTTCCCCTTCTTCATCTGATGCATGTACAGCTTCAGCTTCATATTATTGAAGATTACGAATAAATAGAATAAATACTTGCCTTACAAACTATTTTCCATTATAGATATAAAAATGTACATGTACATGCTTGTGTACCATAGAATTATATGATGCAGCATTTCACAGTAATGCACATACTTTTCAAGATACATATTCCAAAGATTATCTGAACACGGAAACACGTGAAATAAAAATCGCAAAAACGTTGCACGGAAAATAAAAATCGGGAAAAACGAAGCACGAGAAATAAAATCGTAAATATTAAGAAAAAGGTACTAGAAGTTATTACTCAGCCGTTCTTAGAGATCATGCAGTCATTATTAATGGACATGAAGACCCTGCGGTCACCTTTTAGCGTCCGCTAGTTGAATTTGATTTGAAAAAATATTATTCATAGTAATTTGATGGACTTTATTACATATACAATAGAATTGCAAAAGTAGAATGGTAACAGTATACATCAAGTTCTATTAGATTACACAAGTTTTACTTTTTAGTCAAATGCGGTACAAGCACGAGAAATTAAGAGTTCCGACACGAAACACGGAAAATAAATAAGGGGGCACACGAAAAACGCACATCGAACAAAACACGAGAAAACGAGAAATAAAACGTCAAAACACGAAAACACGTAAAATAAAAAGGCCGAAAACGTTGAACGAAAATAACCCTTTACCACCCTCTTAGTAGTCTCAGATTTTACCAGAAACATTGTATGTCTCTGGTTTTACAATTTAATTTTTATATTATTTTAATTATTTTTTTATTATCGGATACTGAATACATCTTTTATCATACAACTTTTGGGTCTGCTCCTTGATCAAAACAAAAACAGAAAAATCCAAACATTTGTGTTGCCGCTAGGAATGTAGTCCAGTTAACCGCAACTGCTTGTCGACTGTTGCTGGGGATACCCGTTGCTGGTAAGTCTGTTTGGTGTTTATTAGTCCAGAAACAAACTGATATTTTCTTGTTAATATATAAATAAGGAGATGTAGTATGATTGCCAACAAGACAAAGTCCTATACACACCAAAGTTCAAATAAAGTGGATGTAAGCAATTATAGGCAACCGTACGGCCTTCAACAATGAGAAAAACTATACCGTATAGTCGGCTATAAAAGGCCCCAACATGAAAAATATGAAACAATTCAATTGAGAAAACTAATGGCATAATTTTTAAGGTTCATGTGGACCCTTTGGCCAAAATGGCTGCGTTTTCACCTAAACCCTTTGACTGCCAAGAATCGGCCCGGCGTCGTACGTTTTCAAACAGCGCCATGGCAACCTTTACAACAATTGATAACGTCAAGCTATTGTGCATGGTACCTGCATAGGAAAATTTGCTCGTTTTGATGACACCACAGCTGTCTGCTTAGTTGATTTATCGCTCTCAGGTGCCGTTTTTTGTTGTTGTTTATTTTGGTTAGTCTTTTCATTATTACACTATTTGGTGTTGATTGCAATTTATTAGAATAGTGGTTGTAAAAACTGATAACCTCATTGACTTTAATGGTATTAAAGCTCAGAATGCCGTGTAATGTATCATATCTGGTAATGTTTTTTTGTATGTCTTCGTGCGATTTCCCCATTATATCCGTTATTTTTCATATTGTTTAACTGTTTGCACTTCAAGAATACCTTGGTACACCTGTTTTTATACAGAGCCTCGTTTTTCTCAAATGCCGTTAGTTTGCAATGTAAATTTATGTTGTCTTTCTTTGTTTTTGTCTATATTTCTTGATTTCCTTTCAGTTTTATTACACTTCGGTATTCTACCTTAAACCGTTTATATTTTGCGGCTGGTGCGGAATTTCGTAAACTATTAATAAATGAAAACCAACTCTTGTTGTCAAAATGCTTGGGTTGCTTTTTGTATTATTCCCTAATAAAAGCATTAAAACAAAAATGTTTCTTCGTGGAGAATTTATAAATATTAAAACATATCTGCCGCCAAAATATATATGCAAATTGTGAAAGAAGGTACATTTTTGTGTAAATGTATAAAATCTCTCGTAGATGTGAACCACATACTGAGGCACTTTGGACAATAAAAGACACCAGACAAATGTAATTATATAATACAATATTAAAAATGTATTTATGATTAACATTCGTGCCTCTGAAGGCAAGCTGCATGTTGTCCTCTGGTACACTGCGCACAAGAGGTTCTTGATCTTTTTCTTATATTTCGCTTTCTGTCGGAACAAATGACACAATCTCGTTCTTTTCGAAAGTCAAGTTTTTTCACTCTTGCTTGCCGATTCACGTTACCATTTCTATGTGTCAAATAAGCGGACGCTAAACTTTCTATTACAGATTGGTTGAACTGAAGTCAGGACATAACCGGTAATGATGTGTTATGACTGTACAGAATATACTCGTTTAACATGATGCGGTTAAATATGTGATATATAATTTTTTTCCATACTTTACTGCATTTCCTGTGATCATTATATGCTCCAATCATTTGGTCGCTAAGGTCGACACCGCCCATGAATGTATTATATGCGCCTATGATCCTAGGTTTACCGTTTAGTGTATCAATAGCATTGTAGTAAGTAGACACCAATGTGACGGGGTTTTTTCTGTTGTGGTCGCGGAAACAGCAAAGCATGATTTGTCTTTGTCTAGCGTAAACAGCATTCCCTGCTTGAGGACATGCATTTTTTATCATCTGTGGCGTAGGTCTATTAGTTCTCATTGTGCCTGTGAGATACGTACGCTCTCTCAATAATTTGTTAGCTAAATTAAGTGAAGCAAAAAAGTTATCGGCGAAAACATGAAAGCCTTTTCCAAGAAGATGTGAATTCTTCATTAAATTTATTACTACATTTGTTCCTTGTAATGTTCCAGCAGGAGTGGGATCGAAACGTTTCCCGTGATATACATCCATCTGTAAAACATACACGGTGACGGACTCGACCAACATCCAGAATTTAAGGCCAAACCTTGAACGTTTACTTGGTATATACTGTAACATACTTGTCTTTCCTTTTGTACCAACAAGGGATTCATCTACAGCAAGTTCTCTGCGGGAATTATAATACCGTAAAAATTTCCTGTTACCGAAATCAAGTAACGGTTTGAACCTTTGAGATGGTTTGTAAGCTGGATCATTAGGATTAGGGAGTGTTTTGGTGTCCACCAGGTGCAAAAATTTTAAGATGTTTTGGAATTGGTTTCGACTAAACATACAACGGAACCAGGGTGTAGACTGAGATGGACTGTGCTTATTCCAATATTCTTCAAATGAGACTTTCCTAATTAAGCCCATGTTAAAAAAAAACAGCAAGGAATCCCTTAAACTCAGGTATGGTTAGTTTACCCTCCTTCTGCCACTGCATTTTTCTCGAAAATCGTCTGGTTTGGCGAATGGTTTCATTGCAAAGATTCTTTGCATATCTAAAAAAATAATAAAAAATAATCATAAACATTTATTATATAAAGTCGTAGAATCTTTTATGTAAATATTTATTTTTTTAAGGGAACGACCATATTACTTTGAAAATGTATATTTTTTGGTGGTGGTGATTAAGTGGGGTGTGTGTTTTATCTTCAAAAAATATTCTTAATCCCAACTTTGAAGAAAAACATTATGATCAGGGAATTTTTTTTTTATTATTATCAGTTTTTGCCATTATAAATTCAATATCAAGTGTCAAGCTTGACTCGTAAAGCAAACCTGAATAAAAAAATACATAGTACCCCCTTTCAGAGTTAACAGGCTGTTCTCTCAAGAAATGTATTATTTTTATTTTCTTCATTTGTTTTTGTATTTGGTGATTTGTTGATGTCTTCGTGCCATTGACTTATATCTGTTCTTTTTAATATTTTGTTTTCGTATACTGCCAGAATAACCGTTTCTTTTGAGTTACACATGCTTTTGTGTTATTTTATATCCTGTCATTGGGGCGCTTCCCCTGTATCTGAGCAAGCTGCAACGCAACCACAGAAAAACATAATGTCCATTACTCTTTATTGAGCTGAACGAACAAACAGTCGTGTTGGGCTGTCTTTCTATTATCTTGACCGGTCTACACATACCATTTCAGCAGGACGAACACCCGTTTATTTTTATTTGCAGGGGGATATAAAAGTGTTCAAAATTTTCTAAATTATGTTTTAGAAAGAACAATGTCATAATTGAAACAAATTGTAATCACAAACACTTAAATCGTATGACTTTGTTGATTATTTTATTGACTGTGTCATTAACATTTCAATGGAGGAGCGTTGGTTCTACATTGATGGTAAAAAATTGCAATATGGCTATGAAAGATACGTCTAGTAACTATAAACTAACTCAGAAAAGATTATTTTACCAACCTGTTTGTTTGTTTGACAAACTCTTTGATAAGGTCAATAGAAAATCGCTAATAAAAGTCAGCTATTGGCGCGGCATCTCTGGGTGGCATATTAATGGGTCCAGTGGGTGCTCTATTAAACGGTGGGTCATTCATTGGCTCTGGTGGGAGAACCCGGAACCACGGATTAGGTTCAATTGCAGCCATGTTTCCTTCAGCGCTGCTCATAGTCTATGACGTCACAGATTACGTCATTGATGCTGCACATCGGCCAAAGCCGATGCCTGGCAGTCAAAGGTACATTTTTGAAATCGGTGCGTTTTTTTGTTGTTGTGTGTATGAGGGATGCCCCCTTTTGCCTTGGCATGTGATATTCCGGGTACATGAAAAAAAGAGTATTCGGTACTCAAAGGAATGGTACGCAGTATTCAGAAATTAACGTGTTGGTACTCGATACGCCGGAATCATAATTGTTTCTGAGGCGGCATTAAGTGTTACCTTTGACCACCCGTCCGTCCGACCTGGTTTTGGTTTCCACTCTTTAAACCAGGTAAAAAGTCAAAGACGATTATGAAAAGTTTATAGAGGGATAAATGCAGTAAAAAAATATTACTTAAGAAATAATTCCTACATGTCATGCTCTATGCTCATTTTAACATGGGCAGGCATTATATTTGTCTATATTTTACATTGAGCGTTATTTCGATTCTAATAGGACAAATACAGTATATTTATAGGTCAAAGCGCACAAAAATATCTTAAAAATGTTTGGCTGTTCTCATTTCCTCCCCATGGAGTCTGTACATTACATTTTCATATTTAATTAGTTTAAAAACTAAAAGCAGGGTAAATATATGTTGTTTGATAATCAATATATAATAAAAGTTTATGTAAGCTGCTAAAATATATATACTTTATTAGAATAACAATGAAAATAACGAGAATATAAACAGTAAATTTGTGCGCATGTGTCAAACATATTTTGTGCTAATTAGAACACGGCTTTGTTTACAAAGCGTAATAAGGACGTCATATTATAATGATAAATAATTTATGCTCTTTAAGTCCATTGGTCCATATGCACATCAACAAAATAAAATAAAGTTTTGTTTTATTGCTATATTATAAAATTGAGAATGGAAATGGGGAATATGTCAAAGAGACAACAACCCGACCAAAGAGCAGATAACAGTCATAGGCACCCGGAATATGATAAAGACGCACTTATACAATTGACATATTGGAGCTGGGACGACTTTTAAACATATCCGTTTATTTGGAAAAATCAATAGAAAGAAATATGTGAATGTAAGCAAATGACAATGCACTTCTGGGTAATAATGTAATAATATTATAAGGATGGCTGGATCGTGATGGGGCTTCATTGAAAGAAAAGTCCATGAGCCTGGTAGCAGAACTCTGAACAACGGCTGATTTTCTTTCCACGCCGGTTTCGCTGGGCACTGCGAATTCTCTATGACGTCAAGGAACAACATCACAGCGGAAAACAACATCGGCTTTGGGCCGATCCTTGGCAGTCAAAGGTACTGTTTCTGCATCGGCCAAATCGGCCCTATGGCAGAAAGGAGGTTAAGGTTCATGTGGACCCTTTGGCTAAAATGGCTGCATTTTCACCTCAAAATTTACTCTGAGTACAGACAAACCTGTGTATCTGGAAAAGTTTTCAGGCATAGCATGCCCTAGATAAATAAAATTCAAATATATTCTATGTTTTAGAAAATTAAAAAAGTAACAGGATTTTGCAGTGCACTTTTTTTCATTCCTCCAGAAGGTGCCAAAATATAATAGGCACTGGCTACGGTTACATTGAAATGTAACAATAATAAAAAAGTTATTGTTACATTGGAGACTTTATGGTTAAAAGTTGATGTAAAACAAGGAAAATCAAGAAATTTTACAGAATATACAAATGTTGTCATGGTTTGTTGTGATATTTGTTTTGATTTTCTGAACACCTTGTACCTAAAATAAATTTAAGAATATGTATATGTATATAACTTTTCAATTTGCACTAATTTGGGCCAAATAAAGGCCTTATTGCTCCTACTAACTTTGTACAGCCATTCTGTCCCACAAATTACCATTCATATTCATTTTCCCCCTGCGAACAATAAGGTTGTTGAATTCCTTACCAAACCAGTTAGCCAGTAACCCAGACTAAGATGCTTTCAAGTCTGGAACACAATCTATTATGTTTTGCTAAAACAAATGATATGTTTATATTTATATAATTTTTTTTTTATATGCCCGTTTATGGGACGTATTATGGTATACCGTTGACTGTCTGTCCGTCTGTCCATCCGACCGTCCGTCCGTCCGTTGTCAACATGTCGGACATTAATTCAAAAACGCTTTAACCAATATGCATGAAACTTTGGTGAAATGTTTATATCTATTGACGTGAGCTCCCTTTCGTTTTTTATAAATTTCAGATTTACCATTTCCGAGTTTTGGGGTTTTATTCATTAAAAAAGGGGGGATTTTCCAGTTTTCGGACAATAACTCAAAAACAATTTCACGAATTTGCATGAAACTTTTGTGAATGGTGTCCCTTTCGGTTTTTTATAAATTTCGGATTTACCTAGCCGAGTTTTGGGGTTTTTTTAATTAAAAAAGGGGGGGATTTTCCAGTTTTCAGACAATAACTCAAAAACAATTTCACCAATTTGCAAGAAACTTTGTTGAATTGTTTATTTCTATCGACATCAGTTCCCTTTTGATTTTTATAAACTTCAGACTATATGTTTCCGATTTATGGGGTTTATTTATTTCAAAAAGGGGGATTTTCCAGTTTTCGGACAATAACTCAAAAATGCTTTCAGCATTTTTTATGAAACTTTGGTAAATTGTTTATATCTATTTTTGTAAGCTGCCTTTTGATTTACATAAATTTTCAATTTTAAGTTTCCAAGTTATAAGATTTTATTTGTCTATAGTCTAGACAACAGATTTACTAAGTATTGCGCAACAGCACAGTGTATTGCACAACAGCAAGAAATCTTTCATATAACCAATTTCAAGTTCTTTGACTACATTTATTCAGAAACCTATAATATATCAAATATTTAATTACAATCCAAATTCAGACCTGTATCAAGCTTGAATATTGTGTCCATTTTTGCCCCAACTGTTCAGGGTTGGACCTCTGCTGGTGTATCCAGCTGGGCTCCGCGAAGCAGTTTATTTAGATAATCAAAATGTTTTTGAAACTTATTGTAAATATGCCCATTTTCTCCCCTAGCATGTGCCTTGTAATCATAATATATATTGAAGTTAAGAATTATTAGGTAGATGTAGATGCATTTCAACTTTAGAAATAGAATTTTTTGTTTCTTGAATACAATCCCAGGTTTTCAGGTGCTTTCAGGTATTCAAGGTACCTTCAAATTGCCACTTATGATCAAAAGAAAATAGATAATGATAGAGGGTCAAAATTTATAACCTACTATTATTGTAATATCGTATGGAAAAGAGCTAGCACACAATAGTGAAAATAAGTTAAAATATCTCAGAGTATTTACTAATAAATAAAAAAAATAAAAACACCAAAAAAAATTTTAGAAAAAGGGGTCCCATTCCTCAAGCTCCTGTGTTTTCAGGCTATTATGGGTTTATGGAGCAGAAAATCATACTCCTGTATTGTCTAAAAACAAATAACTGAGTCCTGCAGCTGCATATAACTAAGTTCATTATGAAGTATGTCAAGCACAACAATGAACATTATTTTTGAATTTTAATAGTTTCTTGTTCAACATTCCTGGCACCAAAAGCATTACCATGTCATGCTAGATTTCCTTAAAGGGAGAGAAGATACTTAGAAATCAATTTGAAGAAAAATAGACTATACAACTATACATAGCCAAGAGCAAGACAAACAACATTGGCTTTCATTGTCAGTAATTTTAATATTGATGAAATGGCAATTCTTCATTTAAAGTGAAGAAAATTAAAGCGAGACAATTTTTTTTTAAAACACCCATTTTATGTGGTTTTGAATTTTGGCTATATTCTTGAAAGCAATATTAGATATATCTTCCAAGAGAATCTTCAAACAACAAAAATTATCAGCTAGACAAGATCTACAAATAGTTCCACATGGATGAAATCATCACAACTTTGACTCCTTTCAGGAATTATTGCCCTTTAATGATTTTTTTTAACAATTTTTTTGCATTCTTGGAGAAAACTAGACTCGTAGAGTGAAACTATAAACAGCCTAAATGATCAACAAGAAAAGATATACAAATAAGTTCAATGATTAAAATCATCAGTCAAATCCTTAAAGGAGTAATTTGACATTTTTTATCCATTTTGGTGTTTTGGGCTGTAGTCTTGAAAACTGTAATACCGGTAGGTATAATCACTTTTTTTATTGGAGTTATTGACCTTCAATGACAACTTTTACCTATTTTTCATGTTTTTGGCTCTTTTCTTAAGTACCAAAATAAATAAAGAGTAACTGTGAACAGAAATAATAAAATGCAAGATAAGATATACAAAAAGGTGAACATAACTTTGGGATTGACTTCTTATAGAAGTTACTGCCCCATAACATTTGCTAAATGAAAATTTTTGACCAATTTTAGCATTTTTTGTGATTATCTTGAAAACTTTGTTAAATAATCAGCAAGAAAAAATCTACAAGAAAATAAATTGATGAAATGGTCAGTTGACTCCTTTAATTATATTATGCATTGTCCTTAATGTGGTTTGACATTTTAAATTTATTATTCACCTTGAAGCCTCTAGTTTTAAGAGTTAAGGACTATGTAAGCATACATTTTTCAGTATGTTTTTTTTCTCATTGTTGATGGCTGTACGGTGACCTATAATTACTTAAACCCACTTCATTTGGACACTATTAGATAGGTTGTCTCATTGGCAATGATGCCACATCACCTTAGTTTGTATTTATTGCATAAATGCATATATATATATATCATGTATTCATGTATTCAGATGTATATTACATGTATAATAAAGATTGGCTAAGTTTTGTTCTTTTGAAAATTCCACCCTATTTATTTCCTTTTAAGTACATAATTTAATTATTTTGTACAATGATATAACATACCCATGTGACACAAATTGATTTCACGTCTGACTTGAAAATAAGTGAAAAATGAGGTCAGGTTGAAAGAAGGTGAAAATTAAGTAGCTGAACTACATTTTTGAAGTGTGCTCAGTTTGACAATTCATGTCAATATTCATGATATTGCAAAAAGTCATTTTAA